GGCTGAACTTAGCAGTAGCGAGTTTCAAAGAAGTGCGCTGCTGCCAATATCTGTAGCAGTAGCGCGGTCCATTATAGGGCGCTACTACTATAACTAGATGGACGGTCAGGTCATGGCAATTAGAGCAGTACCACGCGGTTTTGTGGGAACGCGCTACTGCTACTTTTCTTTCAGCAACACATTTTCCTTGAGCGCGCTGCTACTAAATAGCAGTAGCATTGTATTTTGAAGATCGCTACAGGTATCTCCGAAAGTGTCTGTTGAGTTGCATTGATCAAGACAGATATTTGTCACTCCTAGTGACGGAGAGATATCTCTGCGCCCTCTCGGTAATACAACACCACAAGAAGGTTCACGTGGCTAATGATTTCAGTCATAGGATCTTGTATTATGGAACGAGTAAATAGACGTGCCAGTAACGAGATTGAACTAGGTATGGAGATACCGACAATCGAATCTCGGGCAAGTAACGTATCACTGGATAAAGGGAATTGCATACGGGATTGGCAGGGTCCTTGACATCGTGGTTCAACCGATGAAGATATTTGTTGAATGTGTGGAAATCAATATGGGCATTCATGTGTCTCAGTCATGTCTACATGTTCCCGAACCCATATGGTCGCACGCTTAACGTTCGATGGCACTAGGGTAGCATTGAGATATTAACAGTGGAAAGTCCTAAGGTTGTTTGCAGTCCCACATGGGATTCGAGATGTCACGAGGAGCTGTGGAATGGTCCGGAAGTAAAGATTATATATGGGAAGTTTTATTCAGGGTTCCAGAAAAGCTCGAGGGTTCACCAGGAGTGTACCGGGGGGCACTGAAGGGTTCCGAGGTCCACCGGAGGGACACAGTAACCCTGAAGGGGCCACGCAAACCCTAGGAGGGCGCAGCAACTCCTAATGGGCCAGGAACCACTCCCCCTTAGGCCCATGATGCTAGGAGGGAACCCTAGGGGTGGGGAGGCGCTATACCTGGCTTGGGGGGCAAGCCTTCCCCTGGCCGCCCCTCCCTCACCCCTATGTATAGTGGGGAGGCACATGGGGGGCTGCACCCTTCCACCTTGGCCCTCAGTCTCTCCCAACTCCCCCCACCTCCCTCCAGTACGCGCTTGGTGAAGCCCTGCCGAAATTCTGCTGCTGCCACCATTACTATAACGCCGTGCTGGTTCCGATCTCATCTACCTCCTCTCCCTCACATGCTGGATCAAGAAGGAGAGGATGCCATGAAGCTAAACGTGTGCTAATCTCGAAGGTGCCATCCGTTCAACACTAGATCGGTTTGGATCGCGATTGGATCGTGAAGAGTACGACTACATCAATCACGTTAAGTACGCTAACGCTTTCGGTCTACAAGGGTACATAGACACACTCCCCTCTCGTTGCTATGCATCTCCTAGAT